CATTATTAAATACTTGAAGCAAAACTTGCCAAAAATCCAGCTACAGATAGCAAACTCATGCTAACAATGTCTAATTTTCTTGGTCAGTCTTTTGGGGACCAGATTCATGAATGTTATTTCAAGGAAAAAAGTGAAATATACAGAACTATTTTGGGGTGATGTATTCTTTGGTAGCTTTTGGGAAGAATGTGTTTCACACTGATGTTTAGTTTTCACTGGAAGAACTTCAGAAAGATTTTATGGAACTCAAAAGTCCGATTGTTTTTACTAGCAACTTCCAGATACTCTAGAGCAGCTGTGGGCAAACTACGGTGCCGGATCCCGCCTGTTTGAAATGAATAAAACTAAAAAAAAAAAAAAAAAAAGACTGTACCCTTTTATGTAATGATGTTTACTTTGAATTTAAATTAGTTCACACAAACACTCCATCCATGCTTTTGTTTTGTTCCGGCCCTCCGGTCCAGTTTAAGAACCCATTGTGGCCCTCGAGTCAAAAAGTTTGCCCACCCCTGCTCTAGAGAAATTTAGATGTCAAACGACTAAACAGAATACTTCATTCCATTTTTTCCTTACATCGTAAAAGCTTCTTTTTTCTTTTTTTCTTTTTTTGCGATATCTAGCTGTGGGGAGAAAACAGTGAAAGAATGTTGTTAAACAGCTTGCGTTTTGTTGCATCTTCTACACCGCCCAGGAAAAAAAGTTAAGGTATAACTGTTACATGGCTATCATATCATCTGAATAAAGTTTTGCATTCCAAGATTACCATTTTTTAAATTGATTTTATTGTGATACTTAATTTTGAAAATTTAAATATCACTGGAAGGAAAATGTAAGATTTTTAGATGTATGAGTAGAGGTGTGGGTTACAAAAATGTTGAGAAAAACTGATATATCCATATCCACCAGAAGCTCATCTGTTTATTGCAGGTCTTCCCTACAGGTTTAGCTATTGACCACTGTATCAAAGTCAGACTGTTTAAACTTGCTCCTCTCTACCCCTGTGGCTGTACCTGGGACCTCATTTTCACATAGACTTGCTACATACCTGAAATCCTCAACTCCAATTGCACTAGGACCTTAGCTCTTAGCTTTCTGGTGCAGTTAAAAACACTCGTTATACTAGCTACCGTTAGATCAACTTCTAATTGTTTTCCTTCCCAATTTATCAGATATTTGCTATCCTACTGAGCCTGGACCTTGTGATTGGTCTTGGTGTGAAGAACTGGTTCATGTTATGGTCTAGACCAGGGCTTCTCAACCTCAGCACTGTTGACATTTTGAGTGAGCTAATTTTTGGTGGTGGGGAGGCTGTGCATTGTAGGCTAATTAAGAGTCTCTGGACTCTACCTACTAAATGTAAGTAGCACCACTCCACCAGTTGTGACAACAGATTTCTCCAGACATTGCAGGATGAGATGTCAGGGGAGGGGAGTGCACGATCACCCCTAGTTGAGAACTACTGTTCTAGATGCAGGGAAACTGGTCATGCCCATAGACTAGCCTCACTTAGGCCCTAGAGCCAGTGCCTGGCATAGTTGTTCAAGTGTTCAGTGGAAGAACAGCCTTACCTAGCTGGACCCTTACTAAATGTAGTCTCAACATCAGTAGGTTAATTGATAGGACCCAGACTTCTCCCAGCTCTTGGTGTGCAGATGGCAGGGTCAGCAAGCCTTTTATAAACATTAGCGCTGCTTATGTCACTGACATTTGGGAGAACAGGACAGTGACAAAGCAGTATATGAAATCAAGATCTAGAAATGATTCGTAAAAAGCAATCACTTTAGCTACTCAGTTTCAGCAAGGCCACAGGGCAGTCTTTTGTTTTTTAAGTATTATGCAGACCTAATACAGGAGACCAGAGCCTGTCTACTCTTGTCAGAGTGTGGGTGGCCTTGTGTTGGTACATATGAATATCAGCCCCTAAAGTACTTCCTTAAAAGCTAAGACTCCCCTGCCATTGGTCATCAACCTCTGGCCACTATGCCATGCCTCCTGAAACTTTTATAGGACCTATAATTTCCTTGCTATTTCCCACCCCAATCCCTGACCCCCTCTGAAAGTTATCCTATAACCATGAAGTTATTACAAATATGTATTGACTAATAAAATAAGATTACAAAGAGGGTGAGGCAGGCTTACTAGTCCTCTATACTAGATCTAAAAGGACTTTCTGCACTGATGGATGTGTTCTAAATCTATGCTGTCCAATACAGCAGGTACCACTAGCTACATATGACTTTTGAGCTCTTGAAATGTGGCTAGCGCAACTCAGGAACTAAATTTTCAATTGTGTTTAATTTTAATTGATTTTTTAAATAGTTATACTTGGCTGATGACTAAAGTAGGTTGAATTCTGCTCCTTCCTAGGGCCCTAAAGAGTAATAGCAAGTCCAAAGGAAAGATGAAAATAAGCCAAAAAAACAAATACAATTTATTTACCCAATCAGGAGAGAAAGGCTGTAAGATGATATTTTTAAGCATATAAGGAGAACATATTTAAAAGAAGGCTTTCTTGTATTTTCAAAAAAATCTAACCAAAATGGCCATGAGCCAGTTTCACTTATAGGGGATATGACAGGGTTTTAGTAGAAATTAGCTTTTTAAAAAAAATTGTATTAACCCCTTCACCAAAACAGCTGGGAGGCTGGGTCCTCAAAACAGGAAAAGTATAAATGAGGTTTTATTTGGTGCCTGATGCAGGGCAAAACCTAGTATTAAGCAGGTAAGTGAGTTCTTCCCTGTCTCATTTCACAGCAACTCCTGACAGGACGGTGAGGAGGTCTTGGAGTCCTAGAAGGGAAAGTTTGTGCTGACAGTATTAATGAGAAAGGCGAGAGGTGTGGGAAGAACAGGGCTAAGGAGACCATGAGAGATGATGGTGGTGATATATTACACTTTTTAAAAAAAATATATTTCTACTGATTTTAGAGAGGAAGGGAGAGAGAGAGAGAAACATCAATGATGAGAGAGAACCATTGATTGGCTGCCTCCTGCACGCCCCCGACTGGGGATCGAGCCTGCAACCCAGGCATGTGCCCCCGGCCAGAATCAAACCCAGGACCCCTCAGTCCAAAGGTCGACGCTCTATCCACTGAACAAAACTGGCTAGGGCCATATATTACAATTTTAATGACAGTTCTGGCCCACAAACCAGAGAGTCCTCAGAGGTACGGTGTAAGAACTCTGTGCTTGGGGAAATGGCTCATTTCTGCATGTGAGAAACACAGGAGGAGAAGTAACAAGGCTCCCGTTATCGGGAGACCTGCAAAGAGGAAGGAAATGGCCTGTAAGTTAGTACTTTTCTCCCCCTCCCAAAGGGGGGAAATGGACATCTCAGGGATTTGTATTAAAGAACAGGAAGGCTTGCCCAGCCTGCATGGCTCAGTGGCTGAGCATCCACCTATGAACCAGGAGGTCACAGTTCAATTCCCAGTCAGGGCACATGGCCAGGTTGCGGGCTCCATCCCAAGTTGGGTGCGTGCAGGAGGCAGCCAATCAATGATTTTCTCTCATCATTGATGTTTCTCCCTCTTGCCCTCTTCCTTCCTCTCTGAAATTAATAAAAATATATTAAACACACACAGGAACTCTCATTCCTCCACAGCTATCTGAGGTTCAAACTTAGGACTTCCTGACTTTTTTCCTCATCCTAATGTACTTGGATCCAGAGTTGGTCTGAGGCTTCTGGCTGACAATTCCACTTGGCACCAAGATGGGCCCAGAAATACAAAGTGGGATCCACGTGGCCTGGAAGAGGCTCCCTGGAGGTCACATAACCCTTTTTTGTCTGCCATCTCCTAGGCACACAGAACCCCCTCTCCCCCTACAGCAAAGGATGGAATTTCTCAGCAGACTTGGCTGAGAAACCCAAGTGTGAGCAGGAAATACTGTCTCCTCTTCAGCCCTCTTACCTTGTGGTAAGCTAACCAGCTTCAAGGTTCCATCTCAACACATTCTCCTGGCCCTGGTTCATATGAAATTCTCTTCCTAGTAATAAAATCAGAAAAGGCACCTTGGGTCACAACTTTTATTTCTCCCTACCACCTAATGCTGCTTTAAATCCTTTAACAAAGCCAAGAGCTTGCCTTCTCCCTGCATTTCTTATAGTCCTGCCTGGACCAGGCCTACTTCCACAGCTTCTGACTCTGCACATCAGCTAAAGCACCTAAGGCCTAGGGCAGTGATGGCGAACCTTTTGAGCTCGGCATGTCAGCATTTTAAAAAACCCTAACTTAACTCTGGTACCGTGTCACATATAGAAATTTTTTGATATTTGCAACCATAGTAAAACAAAGACTTATGTTTTTGATATTTATTTTATAAATTTAAATGCCATTTAACAAAGAAAAATCAACCCAAAAAATGAGTTCACGTGTCAGAGGTTCGCCATCACTGGCCTAGGGAATCCCCCAGTCCCTCTCCCAGGAAGACCCAACAGAATGCCTTAGGACCTGCTTCAGGGGGACTGTTAGATCTCAGATTTCTGCCTAAGATGAACACTGAGTCTTTATCAAGAGAAAAAAAAGGCATGTGATTTCTTGTAAGTTCTGTTCCCAGAATTGATTTAAAGCCACACCTCCACTTCTTACTAGAATGGACAGAACCTATAATTATACCCCCATGTTTCCTTGTCAGCAACATTTTTGAGCTAATTCTATAGGCCTTAGTCATTAAATAATTTTTATATACATTCCAGTACTAAACTCTGGAGTGAAGGTAGCATAGGGAGAAGAGAAATGGATTGGAAGAGATATTCACCCCTCACTCATAAGGCCTTTGGTAAGTCCTCAGTCCCTCCCTTCATAGGTCTCATGATCCTCCTAGAGACCCTCCTGTCCAGCTTCGGAACTCCTTGTATCTAGTCTTACTTCAACCTAGCTACACTGAGACAACAGATACCTTCTAGAAAACTCACGTCTAGGCAGGAGAGGGATGAGAATCCTAAAAAGTCCTTTGATTTCAGGACAAAATCTGCTTCCTTAGCACCACCTCTGGTTTCATTCTCTCCTCCCTTTCCTCTTGAAACCACCTCCCAAGCTGCATGCACACCACCTGTGCGCCTCTTCCCTGTGCAGACCCTGTTTCCTGAACATCCTCCCTCACATTAGCCACTTGCCTTTACTAAGTCTGAGGCTGGCCACCAAGATTAGACTCTTCCACATGCCAAACCCTCGAGCTTGTGCTGGGAATGCAACATGGGAGCAGAAACAGACCAGTCCCTGTCCGCAGAGTATGCAGAAGAGAGCCCCCAGGGATGCAGCCGCAAACTGAGCTAAGCGCTATGAAGGCCCAGCACACTGAGGCCATGCCATGAAACAAAGGAGCCTGAGAGCTCAGTGTCAGGAGGTCCACAGCACCTTCCTGACGTGGCAACCTGAGCCAAGACCTTAGATTTAACTAAGAAAAGTGAGGTGGGATATGGTGGGCCTTCACTTCCCTCAGCTGCCACCTACAATAGCACTCACCTGCGCATTCGAGGGAAACCCGTTTCCCCTGAACGCTGACACAAAGGGAATGAAGGTCTCTGCCCATGGGCCTCTGGCAAGAAGTCCAAGGGGCTCTTCCAGTTGGCGGGTCCTGTGGGCTCCCCTCCAGAGAAGGAATGTTGAGACACTTCCTTAAAAGAACCTCTCCAATCTCCTCTGGGGATCCTTACCTTGTGTGGAATGGAGAAGATGCCTATGGGGACAAGAGAGGGCGAAGCCCAGGGCTTCTAACAAGTGGGTGAGGCCCAGGTGAACTCCCAGCGAGGATTGGTGGGGCTGAGCCCAGCCCAAAAGAGTTCTGCCTAAAAGTGTTCAGGGGTGGGGGAGGCTCTGAATACAGTTGGAATTTTCCCCAAAGGCCAGGTAGGTCCTCCAGCAGGCTGCCACCTCTGCGAGGCAGACTCGTTGGAGGCACAGCTGATTTTCAGATACATCCACGGCCGAGGGACGTCACCCCACTGGAAGGAGCTCAGCTCTCAGCTCTCTTTGAGGACGACGAGTGAATCCAAAGATTCCTGGTTGAGGGGAGTGAGGAGTCCAGGTGAGCCCTTGAACTGGGCGAGATGGGGGCCCGGTATGCCTAGCAGGGAGCCACCGAGCTCCTGAGGGAAGCAGGTGTGGGTGGAGTTTAACTCCAGCTGAGTCTGAGCTGGAAAGGATGCCCCAGCCGACTGCACTCCTAGCTGTACCCAAAGCGGTCTCCAGGGTTGGGGAGACACCTCAGAGGCACTGTGGCCTGCATCTCCTCCAGTGGTTGGAGGAAGACTCCACAGTGGAAAGCCCAAACCCTCCGGCTCTACTTGTCTGCAAAGTCCACTATATTCCATTCCTGCCCCTCCTCCACTGGCATCGCCAGCTTGGACTTGGTGTGCTCCAGGGCAAAGTCCCAAGTCCCTGAGACCCTAAGAGGGGACCCTGCCAGAACATGTCCCCGAGCAAGGGACCCATGTGGGCAGAGGCCGCCGACCTGCGGGAGGTGAAAGGCATCTACTGCGGTCACAGTCCGGGAAGAGCAGGAAGCAGGGGCTCCCTGGGCTGTTCAAACACCAAATGAGGTTTCTCAAGGGAAAATATAATGCGACTGACGGCGGATGTCCTTGGGGAGCGGAGGCAGGAGGTGGGGGAGCGCGTGCTCTTGAGAGCAGAGGAAATGCTCTGCGTATGAGGACCAACAGCCAGGGCGGCCCTAGCGCAGCGAGCGGCTCACCCGGACACACGGAGGCCCTGCCTGAGCGGCACACACCGAGCTGATCGGGTGGGTGAAGGCGGGGGTGCAGGTGCCTCAGGACAGAGCCCTGCGGAGGGAGGGGCGTGCAGGCCGCCGGCGGCCAGTGCTCCCAGGAGGCATCACGGCCCTTCCGCTCCGCCTCCGAGCGGCCCCGCCCGCGGCAGCTGTCACCGCCCTCGCCTCCCTCCGGGCCTCCTTCCCCGAGGCTGGAGCCCCCACCGCTCCCTCCACCTCATTTCCACCCACCTCCCCTCCCTCCCATTGGAGCACTCCTTCCCCCGTGGCCACTGGGGTCTGTCCCACTCCTTGTCTTTCTCCAGTCGGCCCCCAATATCCCTTCCCCCGGCCCACCTAACCCCCAAAACGGTCCCGCCTCCCCAAGACCTAAACCAGGGCCGGTCCCAGAGGCGCTCACGGAGAAGGCGGGGCGTCACTCCGCCAGCACCTGGGCGCTCTGCCCCCCACACACCCCACCCCGCAGGCCCGAGCCCGAGCCCGTCCCAGAGAAGCGGAGACTGGGTCCAACCCTCGCTATTTACCCGGAGGGCCCCGGGGAGGGAGGGAGGGAGGGAGGCGAGGGCGGCGACCTGAGCCCGGCCGGGCGGGTCCGCAGGTCCATCGGAGCGTCAGCCGGTGCGCCCGGCGGCGACCCGGTCCCGGCCGGCCGTGTACGGGAGGCAGCCAGGGATGTGGATGGATCTCTCCTTCCCCTTCCTCCCTCCCCCGTCCTCTCTAAAGACCAGTAAACACATCCCCGGGGAGGATTTAAAAAGATCAGCAAGGAGGGCGCTGCCAGCACCGCCTCGTACCGGGACGTGCAGCCGCGGGCGGCCCCGGAGCTGCTCACCTCCCTGCGGCCAGGCCGGCGCCGCTCCCGGCCGGGCCCCCGGACATCAGCGCCCGGAGGCCTCCCTCTCGGACCCGCCGGTTCTGCCCGCGCCCCGCGCGCGCCCCCGTTTCCCGTCACCCCGGCTTCCGCTCGGGACGCGCTCTCGCCGGTCCGGCGGGGACCGAACCCTCCCGGACGCGGCGAGTCTCACCGGAAGCCCAGACGTAAACCTCGGGAAGAGCCGCCCCTGCGCGTGGAAGCCTTTCGGGGTTCACTAGCCCTGGGCACCGTCCACGTTAACATATGACGCCGCGGGTTTCGCACGGCCCCGTTCCTCCCAACTGCGACCTCCGCAGCGTGGCCACCCCCCGGCGCGCGGGCCGGAAGCCTGAGTCCTCGGGGAGGTGCCCGCTCGTCCCTCTCCCGCTCCTCAGGCTCCACGGCCCACTCAGCGTCCGAGGGGCGTTTTGAGACATGGTGGTCTAGGCTTCAGAATATTTACACACGTTACCAAGTCACGCTGTGTGAGGTGTTGTCATCTCACCTCGCTCTATACCCTCCATGGCGCCGCCATCTTGCGCGGCATTGAATCATGGGGGCCGCCATTTTGCGGAAGAGGGCGGGTGTTTCCGGTTCCGGCGGGGGATGTTCTCTCTTTTCCTCGCAGGGCGGCAGCGGCGGTGGTTGTGCTGCTGCTCTCTCTGAAGTATCCAGGTCCATCCTCGTCGCTGCGGCGACACCCGCACCCGCCGCCGCCATGACTGAGCAGATGACCCTCCGTGGCACCCTCAAGGGCCACAATGGGTGGGTGACCCAGATCGCCACCACCCCGCAGTTCCCAGACATGATCCTGTCCGCCTCCCGAGGTACGAGCTGAGATGCGGGGCGGGGGATTGGAGGATAAGAGCGGGTGTCCCTGCCGCGTGGCTGGGCCCGTGGCACGCGGCCGGGAAAAGGGGGTGGAAGGGCCGCGCGGACCTGTGCCCCGGCCTCGGCCGGGAGGCAGACGTGGAGACGGGTCAGCCAGCGGCTGCGGGAGGCTGGCAGGACTGGGGGCTTTTTCCTTCCCCGCCCGCCTCCCCGCCCGTGTGCTGCAGTGGGCCGCGCGGGGCGGTGATGACACCAACATGCCATCTGAGTGCCCGTGCTGAGAACCAGAGGCTGTTTCTGAGCTGCCGCCCGGCCCCTGCCCGGTGGGAGGCGGGTGGGCACCGAGGGCGCCGCGTGGTGCGCAGTCGGGAAGCTTCCGTGCGCAGGTCCCCCCCGGGGAAGGCAGCCACCGGAGCGAGCGGAGCGGTTTGCCGGCTGCACTGCAGGCAGCCCGCAGCGGGTCCTCCCGCTCCCGAGGGCCGCGTTCTGCATTAGCCGTCAGATGAGGCCGAAAGGGGTGCTGAGCTGGCCTCGGTGTCAGGAAAGAGCGCCCTGGTCTCCGGTGAGGTTGGGCATTGCTTAGCCCACTTGGTTCTGGAATAGCGAGTCCCTTGGCCTTGGCTGGGCATGTGCTCGGGGCCTGCAGTTCCCCTCCCACCTGCCCTCATTGGTTAGATTGCGGACCCACCGGGACCTGGGGGCGTCCCGATCGTCCACAGGTGAGCAAGTGGCCGTGAGGCTACTCACTGGGCTTCCTTTCCTGTCTTCCTTGCCCTTAGACAAGACCATCATCATGTGGAAGCTGACCAGGGATGAGACCAACTACGGCATCCCCCAGCGTGCTCTTCGGGGTCACTCCCATTTCGTGAGTGACGTGGTCATCTCCTCAGATGGCCAGTTTGCCCTCTCTGGCTCCTGGGACGGAACCCTTCGCTCTGGGATCTCACAACGCAAGTAGCTGCCCACTTTGCTCTGGGGGGAGGTGGGATCCCTGGGGGAACTGAGTCCAGAGAGCACCTGGAGAGGGCAGTGGGGTGCTCGCTCTCTCTCCTTGTTGCTTTGCGTTTGTTGCACAGAAGTGCTGAGGGGTGGTCTGGTTGAGCAGTCTTGCCAGATAATGGAACAGGTCCTGCCTTGGGAACATAATGGAGGATCCTGGTGATGACAGACGACATGGTCTGCCAACCCGTGTGGGAGTGAGGACATGTCCTGCAATTCTGAAGGGAATCCTCTGGCGCGTTCTTAGCCGAGGGCCCGGTCGTGGGCAGACCCATGTGTGGGGTTGTATGAGGAAATGCAGCTCCGCTGGGGCAGGAACGAGGCCAAGCAAACAGTCTCCCTGGGAGAAGGCTCGCAGAGTCTGGCAGTGACCAAGTCCTTCCTCTCAGGGGCACCACCACGCGCCGGTTCGTGGGCCACACCAAGGACGTGCTGAGTGTGGCCTTCTCCTCTGACAACCGGCAGATTGTCTCTGGCTCCCGAGATAAAACCATCAAGTTGTGGAATACTCTGGGTGTGTGCAAGTACACCGTCCAGGTAAATGACGACACCCGTAAGGTGCTCTCCCACCCTCTGAACCTGGGCCTTACGGGCTTGGAAGTGTGAAAACAGATTGTCGTCATAACTAAGGGGTGGGGTCAAGAGTTTCGTGGACAGGATGGTTTTCCCTAATTTCCTTTTCATCTGTAGGATGAGAGCCACTCAGAGTGGGTGTCTTGTGTGCGCTTCTCACCCAACAGCAGCAATCCCATCATCGTGTCCTGTGGCTGGGACAAGCTGGTCAAGGTGAGCTTGGAGCCAGGTGTGGGGTCTTGGCCAACTGGAGTGTGTTCCCTCTCCCAGATGGTCATGCACTCCAACTTGTCCCTCAGTTTACTTTTTTCTTGCTAGTTGGTCTAAAGGAGCCAATTGATGGGCCTAAGTCCCTTATGAGGCAACAGAGCATTTGTTACCTGTTTTAATCCTAATTGTCCACAAGTGGCCAAGACCTTTTTTTTGGTTACTGATCAAATGAAAAATGACCACCAGATCCAGGAACGCTTTGAAACGAGCTTTAAAGGCCCTTTCTGTTTGGCTAGAGCTCTTCTGACTCTTGACAGCTCCAGAGCCAAGTTCTTCATCTCTGACCACCACCACCCCAAATTTAGGTATGGAATCTGGCAAACTGCAAGCTGAAGACCAATCACATCGGCCACACGGGGTACCTGAACACTGTGACTGTCTCTCCAGATGGGTCCCTCTGTGCTTCTGGAGGCAAGGTACTTGGGCCAGGAGTCTCGGGTACAGCGTCTTAGAAAGAGTGCTTGGCAATAAGACCAGTCTGAGAATAAATGTTTCCACAGATTGATGGCATTAGGATCTCATTTAAAAAAGTGTTTGATTTAGATGACAGACTCTTGGTAGGTTTGGTGAGTGAGGTGGTGCATTAAAGGAAAGGTATAGAGGTAAATATTGGCTACTTCGGTCATTTGTTTTGGGGAAGTTTAGGGTACGGGGGTGGGGTAGATAAGACAACCCTGAGACAGCTGGGGTTAACATCTGGAAGAGGTCACATTGCCCTGACTCAACTTGCTCTCTCCCAGGATGGCCAGGCCATGCTGTGGGACCTCAACGAAGGCAAGCATCTTTATACACTTGATGGTGGGGACATCATCAACGCCCTGTGCTTCAGCCCCAATCGTTATTGGCTCTGTGCTGCCACTGGCCCCAGCATCAAGATCTGGGTGAGTATGGGCTGCAGTTGAGGACAGGTACCTAACTGTACCCTAAGCCATGGCAACATTGTGATTTCCTGAACAACTGCTGTCAGGGTGTCAGTGGAGGCCCAGAAAAAGCTAGTTAAAACTTGCTGGGTTTGGGGTTTGCAGTGATTCAGTCTTTGCCTACTTAAAGGAATGGCCAAATAGAGCAGCTTATTCAACCGCAGCACAGTTGGCACTTGCGTCTGAATGTTTGCCGGAGGGGTGGGGTAGTCCTGTGTATTTTAGGATGTTTAGCAGCAAACCTGGTCTTGACTCACCAGTAAGTGCCTATAGCAAACTCCCTTAGTGACAACCAGAAACGTCTCTAGGCATTGCCAGGTGGGAGTGGCAAAAAATACCCTCTGTTGAGATAGTAATCTCAGCAGTTATAAAGGGACTTTTGAGAGGGGACTTCTGTTTTCAGTTTTTTGGTGTTTTTTAGTATCAGTGGCATTAAAGTGCAGGGTTGCCTTAACTCCGTTTTGTTCCTTCCCCAGGACTTGGAGGGTAAGATCATTGTAGATGAATTGAAGCAAGAAGTTATCAGTACCAGCAGCAAGGCAGAGCCACCCCAGTGTACCTCTCTGGCCTGGTCTGCTGATGGCCAGGTAAGTGGGTGTACCATTTGGAGGGAAGATTGTGGTCTAGAGCAGCAGTCACCAACCAGTGGTCCGTGAGGTCCGAAAGGTTGACGATCACTGGTTTAAGGAAACCTTTGGAGCAGCGGTTACAAGCCGGTGGTCCGTGAGGTCCAAAAGGTTGGCGACCAGTGGTCTAGTCTAGAGGGTAGTGATTACCTGCTTTCAGTTCAGTTTAATTTGACCAATTTACAGGCATATTAGTCCTTACTTACCAGCTGTTGCTTCCTCTAGGAATAGGAATAATCACCCATAATCATGTAGTTAGAAGAGCGGGGATCTTAAGGGCCATCTTTCTTCATTAATGGGACTAGAGTTTCATGACCCTGACGTATCACTCCATTCTCCTTTGCAGACGCTCTTTGCTGGCTACACAGACAACCTGGTGCGAGTGTGGCAGGTGACCATCGGCACCCGCTAGAAATACATGGCAGAGCTTTAGTAATAAAATGGTTTTCTGGCTTGTAGAAAGCGTCTTTCTCTGGTTAGGAAAAACTGCTTCCCGTTTCTATACTGGCAGGCTGGAAGCACAGGCCAAGTAAACAAGGCTTTGGGGAAGAGGGAGAAGTCAGACTATGTTAGGTAGGTACCCTCTTTTATAATGTCCTATTTCAGATAGATGCTTTTTAACGTTTTTATTGATTTGAGACTGAGAGAAAACCCATCTGCCTTCCACATGCCCCTACTAGGGATTGAGCCTGCAACCTGGGCATGTACCCTGACAGGGAATTGAATCTGCAACCTCTGGTGCATGAGATAAGGCTCAACCAACTGAGCCGCTACACCAGCCAGGACAAAAAGAATATAGCAGAGGTGCATTTTGTTAACTCTTCCAAAGGGAAGATTAGAAAACTTTCTGCAACTGGTTAAGGTTAATGTAGTCTACATCATATTAGGTCTTTTGTTAAGATGGAGACTTTCTCTTTTAATTATTAAAGGCAAGTCAACTCAACCAAAAGAACTACCTAAATCCTTTTCACTCCTTCCATAACTGGAGATTTAATATATACACTGGTCTGGAATTCATAACCACAGAGCTGGCTAAATACAAACAGCTATTGAAGTAGCCCATATATATACACACACACTAGAGGCCTGGTGCACTAATTTGCACACAGGTGGGGTCCCTCAGGGAGGCCTGTGGGGATCTGGCTGAAACCCACAGTCCAACACCGCCTGCAGCGCCTACCTGCCATCCCTGCTCTTCCCGGCCCCACTGCAGCAGCACAGCCAAGGGGGAACCTAAATGGGGGCGGCTGAAAGGCTTAAAAAAGACGAGAATGAAAGCTGGGTCTCGATGGGATGCGGCTGCTTTGAGAGATGATGATGATGCCCACTAGCCGTATGTTTGTTTATAGCACAGTGGTTCTCAACCTTGGCTGCACATTCATCACCTGGGAACCTTTTTAGAATCCTGATTTCTGGGCCTCGTCCTCTGGAAATTGTTTCTTTGTTACTAATGTTGTGGCCCCACCCCATAACAAGGAAACCATTTCCGGAGGATGAGGCCCAGAAATCAAGATTTTAAAGATTCCCAGGTGATTCTCAGGTGCCAAGGTTGAAAACCACTGTTCCAGTGGGTTTTAATCCTACTCAACTACATGCACCTGAACTCTATCAAGCCTACATCACTCAGGGACATGGGGCCACGCGTTCAGACCATAGGTTCAAGCTTACAGTTATAGCTGTTGGCTGTAATTGTGCTGGGAGAGCTCTGCCCTCCCAGCTGGGACTTGCACGTGACCACGAGAGGACTGTGCCCTCCCATTAGTCCAAGGCTTGAACTTATCCAAACACTGTAGCCGCTCCCCCACAGGCATCCTTCAGAGGGGAGTGGCCTATGGGATTGGGCCAAAACTGCCTCTCCAACATCCCAAGGGGTCCCAGATTGTGAGAGGGTGCAGGCCAGGCCGAGGGACCCCATTAGTGCATGATCCATTGGGGCAGGAGAGGGACTAGGGAAAATGGGAGGGCTCCAGGGTGTGTCTAGCCCAGGGGTGGGCAAACTTTTTGACTGAGGGCCACAATGGGTTCTTAAACTGGACCGGAGGGCCGGAACAAAAGCATGGATGGAGTGTTTGTGTGAACTAATATAAATTCAAAGTAAACGTCATTACATAAAAGGGTACGGTTTTTGTTTTTTGTGTTTTTTTTTTTAGTTTTATTCATTTCAAACGGGGCGTAGTTTACGGGCTGTAGTTTGCCCACGGCTGGTCTAGCCTCTGTCTTGACCAGTTCCGATTTGATGACCCCAGCAGCAGCAAACTAACCTACCAGTCAGCGTCTACCCTCTGGTGGTCAGTGCATGTCATGATGAGTGGTTGAGCAGCCTTAGCATATCATTAGCATATTAGGCTTTGATTGAACAGTTGACCAGACACTTCTAATATTAAGCTTTTTATTATATAGGATACCCTCCATTTCCTCCTCAGCTAATAGTAATGATCTCTGGCTTTATCTCCAACTTTGAGATTTCTAGATATAGTCACTTATACTTTGGAAATGTGCCTGAGCCATGGGTGTGGAGATTCTTAGGGAGGCATAGTCCTAAAGCATCAGAGCAGTAGGAGATGGCAATCAGCAAATGACCTTCAAGTAGTCTGAAGAGTATGCCAATCAAGGAGGTAGGTTATACAAATGGAAGGGTAGGATTTATATCCCACTCTCTTGAAGCAGGATCTCATGCCTAGTACTAACCAGATGTGACAGGTGCAAAAGGCAGAGGGAAAGCTCAACCATTTCATTTAGCGGAGGGACAGGCTGTAGAAGAAATGGCTTCTAAGTTACATCCTTGGTTTCTGCTCATCTAAAGGAATGGACTAAACAAAAGCAGCAAATAAAACTTTTCTTTATTTATTTCCACAACCCAACTTCCCTTTCCTCCAGGAACATAAATTGACCTGGGCCATCAAAGCACAGGACAAAAGCTGATAAATGACACAAGGCAAAGGGTTATTAGAAAAATAGATTATACCCAAGGCTCTCCTAGGGACCTAAACCCTGCTCCCCATCAGAGCTCATCAAATGAAACTGAAGACATGAGAAGGATGGAAACATGAAACTCCACTGAACAAAGGGGAAAGGAGTCTGGCAGTGAAAAGGGTAGGGTGTGGTTTGCTGGGGAAAGGGGTGAGAAAATAATTTACTGGGGGGATATAATGGTATGTGGTTTTGATCATGTCAACCACTCCGGATCTCACTGAAACTAAATTCTGGCCAGTCTGTGGAGGTAGAAATTGGGATAGAAGAAAGTTTGGAATCCTTCCTTCCCCAGAGGAGATGGTTATTATCCAGCTCTACCTTTTGCCCAGCCTGCCTCCCCTCAAAAAACCTCCAAATTCCATAGCTATAACTTTCATCAGAAAATGGAATTGGAATGGGAAGAGTCGTGAGTCCTGCCCAAATCCTCCAGCCTGGGAACTGGTATGAAGGTTGAAGAGAAGGGATGGGTAGAGGGGAGTTAAAATTAAATATTCCCCCCCTCTACTCAAACTCGGTCCCTGGGTGGACAGGAAGGGAAGACTAGGCAGCTGTTATCAGGGACCCATGCAGAGCTGGAGGCCAGAAAGGTTCCTTAGGCTCCTACAGGGAAAATCGGGGTCAAGGAAGAGCAGGAAACAATGCAGAAAACTTTGGGAGCCTTTAGCCCCAAAACTTGGGCCACCCTCCACCACCACCCGCCCCACCAGTGCTGACCAGAGGGGCCCCAGCGGGTGGTAGGCTGATCAAGGGCACAGCTTGATTCGGGTACCCTTGGAGAACACCCGGAAGAAAGGGAAGACACGCTCGCCCAGAAAGGCAGCTGAGAAGGTGTGCACGTGGGCCAGAGTCTCTGCATTGTAGAAGCCCAGGCGCCCAGCCTCATAGTCCAGGTACACGCCGAAGCGCCGTGGTCTCTCACTTGGGCTCAGCAGTGTCTGCTCCGTCGAGCTCTGTGCCTGGTAGCGTTTGCCATTGGTGCCCACACACCACACTTCCCTCTGGAGCAGGGGCTGCGGGGGTAGGTGGAGGCGGCGGCGGCGGTGGTGATGGCGTGACGAAGAACTGGCATCCCCGATGCCCACAGAGGAACCCCCAGAGCCCACCTTCTCCCTATGACGACTTGATTCTCGGGCAGCACCCACGGCCCAGCCCCGCCGCCCACCCACCTCTACCTCCCAGTAGTGCCGGCCAGAGCGGAAGCCCTGAGCCCCCAGTACGCAGCAGTCGGCCGAGAAGCACTTGGAATGGTCAGCAACCTCCTGCCGCCGTTCTGCCAGGCGGACCCCCCGGCGATCAGGAGACAGCATCAGGGCCGGGTGAGCCGTGTCAGGGTCCAGGGTCAGGTCCACTTGTGGGAAGAGGACAAATTCACCAGGGATGGGCCCACTGTTGCCCACCAGCAGCCAACTCCAAGGTTCAGCCTTTCCTAACGCCCTCCCCCACTCACCTTCCAGACCCCCAGCTGTCCTTGGTATCCCACCCCTTCCTACAGGCCAGGATCAGGTTCCTATGGGTTCTCTTTTCCTACTCTTGTTTCCAGGACACTGGCAGGTCTTCCCTCTGGCCCTGGCTCTTCTTGCCAGCCCTCACCCCCAGCACCTACCTGAGCTAGGACAGAGTCTTGGCTTGAAGCCCCAGGTGGCCTACCTGTAGCCTGCTCCATCTCAGCCCCCAATCTTCCCTCCAGAACCTAATCTCAGGTCTGTGAAGGTAAAGGCAAAGGAAGGTCGCACAGGTGACCTCCCTACCTCGAGCAGCCTGACAGAACATCCGGCTCATTTTCCTCACGATGGCGTCTGTCAGGAAGTCATGGCTATGGGGTTGACACAGGTCAGGGGACCAGATCTCTGGGGGCTGCAGCTGTATCTCTTCACACCTGGAGGAAGGGGACCAGGCAAGGGGTGGGACCATGATTTCCCAGGGGAAGGAGAGGAGAGGGGCAGGAGAGCCAAAAGAGGCAGGGATGGGGAACCAGGTGCCACTAGGTCACAAAGGATAAAGGGTGAGAACACACCTACTGAAAGTCTCCTTGATGTCCTGGGAACAAGAAACACAAAGAAGGAGAGGGAGAAAGAAAGAGAGAATCAGCTGTGCAGGGATGGCCACTTCTCCCTGCTTGATTCCAGCCATAACGACTGACATAAACAGGGAGTGAGAAAAAGCACTTCGAGGCCTTCACTAACCATGCATCCATCTCAATCATCCTTGTGCCTCAGCACACCTAACTCGTCTCATCCTGTTGAGCCTAGGAATAGAATTTTCAACCTCAGTAAACTCATTTTCACAATATGAAAAACTCTTTCCTCAACACTCATTTAAAACCCTCCTCCTACAACTGAACCTCCTTTATTTTCATTAGGTATAATCACACACACACACACACACACACATTTTACGATAACTCCTGTCTTCAGCCTCAAAAGACCTTTGGGTCTTCAGGAGAAATCCCTGTGGATTCATCGCAGTAAAAGGCTGCTATGGACAG